TTTACATACATATGCCTGATATTCGCGCCTAAAATATATTAGCGTACAATACACGCACCTACAACATTTGTACCTACAATATATTGTCCTACACCACTTACACCTACAATATTTTGACCTACACTACTTACACCTACAGCCCGTTCTCATACCGCTTTGTGCCCCGAGTTGACAGCCGGGTGTGGCAGCGGTGGCCTCAGACGCACAGTCGACCGATGAGTGCGCGTGCCCATCGCTCGGTTGGTCTGTGTGTACACAGCGTGTGGTGTGTTCACACTCTTGCGTGTTGAGACTATCTGTGGGCGAGTTAGCTCCACTCACATCCATCTGTGCGAAGCCCGACAACGGCACATGGTATTAGACTAACGGGTGGAAAGCACATACGACTAAAGCACCTGCGACCACAGGGATTAACGAGAAAAACTAAACACAAACAAGCAAACAACAGCCAATCGATATTGAATCCTCACACTTGCAAGCGACACACCACATACAACAGCGCATGCAATCATAGTGGTCGGCCAGCATGAAGCTATGGTGTATATATATATATACATACACACACCCACACACACCCACCCACACACACACATATATATACATACATATATATATATACACATACGTACATAAACACACACACACACACACACACACGCACACACACATATATATATATATATATGTATATATATTAAGGGGAATGCAGGATGGTCGTGCAAAAGTGAATATACGTGTACAAACGCTCCCAATAAAAGTCTGACGAGTGCCATACTGACCGCTGGCGCATGTATTTGCGTGCGTGCATGTCAGTGTATATTCATATGGACGTATGCGTGTGTGTGGGTTTGTGCTCATGTACGTATGCGTGTGTGAGGGTGTGTGTTTATGTACGTATGCGTGTGTGGGTGTGTGTGGGTGTGTGTTTATGTACGTATGCGTGTGTGTGGGTGTGTGCTGATGTACGTATGCGTGTGTGGGTGTGTGCTTATGTATGTATGCGTGTGTGTGGGTGTGTGCTTATGGTCGTATGCGTGTGTGTGGCTGTGCATGTATTTACCTGTGCACGTAGGGTGTTTGTATTCGTTCTCCTAATCTCCTTGAGTGATGGCGGGCGTTCTGCTGCATTGTCTGGCAGCCCATGCTCCGCCGTTGCGCCGCTGTGGGTACTATCGTGTGCACTGTGAATGGTGTGTGCGTCGTCAGTTGACTCATGCTCTTCAGGTATGCTCATACGTATCTCGTACAAGGCCATGGGCAACGTACTCAAAGGCGACACCTGCATGTACACACGAAAGACATTGTGTTAGTACTAAGACCTACACGAAAGACATTGTGTTAGTACTAAGACATACACGAAAGACATTGTGTTAGTACTAAGAAGACCTACACGAAAGACATTGTGTTAGTACTAAGACATACACGAAAGACAATGTGTTAGTACAAAGACCTACACGAAAGACATTGTGTTAATACTAAGAAGACCCACACGAAAGACATGGGCTAGTAA